TATATTTGTTAATGTGTAAAATTGTTCCTGGTACATATTAGTCATTACTTTAGGTGTTTGGTAAATATAAATGTAATTGATTTTACCTCATGTAGCATGAAACTATGTTTTCTCAGAAAATCTTTTTCTCCATAATAAATACTTGTTCACCCTCCCCTGCTCCATGACTTTAAATTTCTTTGTCCAGTAAACTCAATAAATATTATTTGATCAGCTGCTCCTATGTCTCTGAGAGTTCTAGTCTGTTCCTAATACTACTACTACTTATACGTAACTTATTAAAACATTTTACATGTCACTCATTTAATCTGCATTGGCAATTCTATAAAGAATGGTGATTTCCTCATCACAGAAGAGAAAACTCAAGTTTCAAGAAGTTAGATAATTTTCACTGTTCACAGAGTTAATACGTGGCAGAGGTGAATTTGGGGTCAACTACTGATCATCTCCAATGACTATACCATTATAAAGAGATAATGTCACAACTTGTCAAAACTAGAAATTTATCCCATCCAGGAACTCTGAACCTACTCCTGGAAGCCCAGCAATACTGCATATAAGTAAAATTTCAGTCTGTCACACCTGTGAGTGGGGTGCTTCTGCCTTCCTGGACACCACAGTCTCAAATGAATGACTGGTTCTCACAGATAACTGAGGTTCATTGGTGGAAATCAGAACCATGTATCTAACGAGGTCTAGATGGTACCTGGAATCATTCCAAAAATGACTTTTTTGTACCTTTCCCACATAATGCTGGCACAAGAGGCACCCACCTCAGTGGGTGCTTTTTTTTTCTGCAGTAGCTGAATAGCTCTGAAAAGTAGGTCTTATCCCATCCTGTTAGTCTAATGATTAGCACTAGGATAATATTCTCAGTGATGAACGTCCTATTTATGACAGGAAATAGTATCTCTGGGTTGGTCTTTGTTAATTGTGAAGCTCTAGTAAAATGTTTCCACCCACTTGGCGCGGTTCAGTTGCTAAGGACACGTACCAGCAGTCACTACAAGATCCTGATGTTGGCCTCTCCTGCCTTCTCTGATGGATCCCAGAGGTGCCTGCCTTCAGGATACCAATGACTCACTTCTAACAGTTAAAATATGAGCAAAAGCCACTTGTTTTTCTCTACCAGTTTTTGATAACAACTAACTTGGGAAATTTTATATTCTACTGCTCAGATAAGTGACTAGTGTTCTTTGTCTCTAAATGTAATTGGCTACCAGTGATCTCTATTTCAGCGAAAGATGGTATAGACTCAGATTTCCTTGAATTGAAAGACTAAATTCTGAATCCAATAGCCCTAGATACTAAATGCCAAAAGTACAACTACAGAGAAGCCTGCAGGAGTATTCACACAGCTTGTGGGGGAAATGGAAGATGACATTACTTCAGAAGGTTCACGGTTTATGTTGCTACCAGAGACGTTCACAGGCAGAACTTACAGCTAGCAGACGCTGGGCAGAGGAGAAGCTGCTTTACTATTACTACTAAGGAAATTACGATCTTTTTTAGAAGGGAGATCACTCCTGTACAAGATAGCAGTTATTGTTGTGGTCAGTGATCTAAACAGAATATCTAATCTGGGTTACAGCTAGTAAACACTGAAATGGAGTACAGTTATGTTAAAATAAAACAACAGGCCAAGTCAAAGGAATGAAGATTATCATCTTCATTTTATTCCAGACATTAACCCCTGCATCTGCATCCATTAGTACTGGTAAGCACTGGGAGGACATTTCCAATTACAGTATACATCACGAAGTAATGAAAACCATTTATATAAACTTTGACTTATAAGTCGAAGAAATACTTTAAAAAGAAACAAAAATGAGTTTTTTTATGAAAGTAGTTGGCAAAATAGATAAAGTTCCTTCCTTCAGGGAACGCAAGCAAATGAGTTCTAAGTAAGGTTTGTAAAAAGTACCATGTTTAGGGTGGTGCCTGTGGCTCAAGGAGTAGGGTGCTGGCCCCATATGCCAAGGGTGGTGGGTTTGAGCCCAGCCCCGGTCAAAAACTGCAAAAAAAAAAAAAAAAATAGTACCATTTTTATTCTCTTCAGGCAAAGAACACAAATGAAACCAAGACTAACCAAGGTAAACATCTCATTTGACACCATGGGGAGTGCCATCTCTTCAGAGAAATAAAAAAATATTTCCTTCTGTCCTACTGGCTTTGCAATTAATTACCCTATAATAGTCTATTAAGAGTAATACATTCCTTTGAGCCCCTAAGTCTCAATTATTATAATTCCCTCATTAGCAAAGCTTCTGACATTGCCTTTTCCTTTGCTGCAACTTATGAAAAGAGCACTACAGAGTCACAGATTATCTCCTGTATTTAGAAATAGAATTCAAAAGGAATTAAGAGTGTTTGTTTCCTTGTTTTTCAAAAGTTTTGTTTGGACAGCATTAGAGATCACTCCAGATGAATGATTTCTGGATACTATTCACCCATCTCTAGCCCCACTCAACAATATATGTTCAAAACCTCTTGGACCTAATATGGTAAATAAATGATGTGACACTAGCTGCATGGAGAATATGTTTTCAATATAAATGTAACCCCAAGCAAGCATGAAAGGATGATTTTTCTACCACATCAGTCATGGGCTTTAGAAGAATAGAGAAGTGTTTTCCAATCAGCCCTCCACCTGCAGCCCAGACAGCCTAAAATGCTTACTCTTTATTGAATGTTTACTTTAGCATATTAGTCTACCTATTAAACTCATAAAAATACGCATAATATAATTTTGGTAGGTGATAGGGACCATGAGGAAAAATTAAAGACAGGAAAGTGAATAGAAGGTGATGGGAGAGAGATTTTTTGTGAAGTGTTCAGAGAAGGAGGTGACATCTCAACACAGCTCAGGTGATGATGTTGAAAAAACCACCACCCAAAAGTCCATGGGAAAAGTATCACCAGCAGAGAAAAAAAGCAAGCACAAAGTCAACAAGGAAAAGTGAATTAACATTTAAGAAACAGCAGAAAGGTGAGTAGAAGTGGGATGGAATGAGGATGAATGAGCAGTGGAATAGCATTAGCAAGGCCAGTGTGGCTAGAATACGTAGGGATTTGTAGGGTTTGATGAGGAGCTCAGATCACGTTCTAATGTGATAGACTTGCAGAGTTTCAAGCAAAAGAGTAAATGATCTGATATTTTTTTTAAAAATGATTAGTTAGGGCAATAAAGAGAAAACTGAGAATCGTAACACCATCCAAGTCAAAACTTAGTGCTGTAATGAGGCATACAAAAGGATACACAGTACTACCTTTGTTAAATTACCTGATTAGAGAACTCCCTAATCAGGTAAAAAAGTTAACCAATTTTAAACATGCTTACATCAACTTCTGCCACTCTTTTTCAGATGGCCAAGTCATTAATTGATCTCTCAATAAAGCAATTTTTTAAAAAAGCATCTTATCATCTACAGACTGTTTAAACTTAAAACCAAACCATTATCTTTAATGTTAATACACCTTAAAACAAGTCTGTAATGACACTGACTTTAGCTAACTGAAATACACATGTAAGAAAAAATAAAGTCCCAAAATGTTTATCCTGGAATACAAAAAAAAAAAATTTGGAATCCATAAAAAACAGTTCCTATTTCAAATATAAATGATTAGGAAGATACAAACCAAAAAGTAGCTCAAAACAAATGAGCTAATTAGCAGCTCTTGTTAATCAAGTTTATAAAGCAATACTGACATTATTGTGCAATTATCCTCAGATTTCCAATTTGCCAGTCACCTTGGTTTGGTTTATTTGGCATCTCCTGACTTTCATAAAACTTTGTTGGCACATTTCTCTAGTCATATCAGTAGTAGTAATAGTAGTAGTAGTAGTAATAATAGTAACCAGCGTTACTGAGCACCTGCTGAGTGTATGTGAGGAGCCAGGAATATAAATCTTTGTTATCAGTCTAAGAGACTAGAGATGTGTAAGTAAAATAATAATCAGCAATACAAGAATACATGCTAACTGTGGGCACTGAACTTAATGCCCCGTAGTGTCTGACAAACAGAACCAAAGGGAATTTCTGACAGGGCAGATGCTTTTACCCCATCCCTCATCATCAGTAATTTATAAAGCAATAATTAAAATTATTATTATGATTGCTAGTAAAAATTTATTTACTACTTATTTGGTAAATAAATTGCTAAGTCAGCAAACATGAAAAAGTTCAGAACAGATAGCTAAGAAAAGTTAGTTAGGACTTCAGTTATTAAACTTCAAGAGAGTTTTACATAAGCATACAATTAATTCTTGGTTTGTAGTTTAAGAGTAATAACTACATATTTTCACAAATTTTGGAAAGAGTTGGGTTGGGAGGATCTGATAACATGGCCAGAAGGAATCACTGAAGTGCACTCTTGAACAGAGAAACTCAAAACTCTAGAACGGGAAGCAGGCGTAACAGATCTTTTGCCATAGGGCTTACCCCATTGTTCCTAAACTTGGTTTTTGCACTACGAATGATTTTAACATTTTCCAAAACGCCTAATAAAACGTGCTTCCCCACCACCATCAGTTTTAAAAAAAAAAAGTCACAGGGCATAGTTGGAAGATGGTAACAGGGATTTCCCGGCTTTGGAAATGTTGGAAACAGCGGATTTTAAAGCATCCACAACAGATGTTCCTGCTGGATTTCTCCATCCCCGATGTCAGGTTTTCATTTCAGGGGAAGAAAAACACAGAATTTCTGTACGCCTTGAAACCCCATACACTTGCGAGTGTACCATACACTCGCTGTCATTTCTTTACCTGATTCTTTAAGTGAGTTTTATACAAATGCACTAACCCATTCATTTAACAGTCAAACGCCGGGCCGTGTGGGAAAGCCGGGCCAGTTTGCTCCTCTCCCCTCCGCCGGGGCCTGACCGCCGCCCTCCCGGCCGGTCGTGGGGCCGCGCGCGGGTGCATCCTGGGAGTCGCCGCAGCGGGAATTCTGGGAAATGTAGTTTGTCGACTCCGCCCTCCTCGCCATTCCTGTAATGGCTGCTTCCTGGAAGGTAATGTACGAACTTGTCTCCAAAGAATACTTTGATCGCCCTAGTATATTTGTAAAACAAGGGCACATTTGCACCTTGCCGGGCCAAAGTAGGGTTTCGTCTCCAAATATTAAAGTCAAGAATTGGAATGAAGTTGTCTCTCAGTTCGGTTTATATTGCTTTTCCTATGTTGGTGAACTGAGCAACTTTCAGTCTAGTTCCCCCTCGGACAAGCTGTTTTCTGTACTCATTCTGTACCGATTCTTCTCCCTTGGGTACAACCTCTCCGCCCTGGACTGACGCTAGCTGCCTCTTTAAAATAATTATAACAATACTAATAGTTAATTTTTAAATCCTTCTCCCCCCACTCCCCATAATAGGCTGTGTCACGTGGAACCTCTTAGCCTTAACATCCGTTCCGGAGCGCCAGAAAAGGAAAAATTTCAAGTCCGATAGAATTATTATATATATAAACCATTTCCTTGGTAAGTCTTAATTCCCCACAACTTAACAGAGTTACATATTGTGTGACTTTTGCCAGATTTTTTGTGTGCATTTCCTGAGTGGGAGAGACCCCAAGAAAATGTAGTTTTTACCAACTAGCCTATTTGAAGTGTCCAAGTGCGGTCTTGTGCATTTTTTTCCTGTTAATTCTTTACTCTGTACTTCGGTTAAACTTCTGTTTGGTTGATGCACACGGTGGTTGGTATTACTGTGGAAAAATTGCTGGGGTTAAGGCAGTGTGAGATGATTAGCCTCAAATGACTGTCTTTAAGTACTTTTTACTTCCCTCAAGTTTTCTCTTCGGTAAAATGAAAAGATAGGTTTGAAATGAGTTATAAAGTCTCTAAAAGATTGGATGGACTGTTACTTGTCCATATTATCATTTGAAAAGAAAGGAATTTTTAATTGTTCCTTTTAATTTCCGTGTTTCATTTCTAGGAACCTTCAGCCCTCAAGATCCCAACATCATGCCTACAGTTTCAATACAGTTGATCTTAGTCCTCACTTCACTGCTGTTGGTGTTGCCTGTTGTTGAAGCAGTGGAGGCTGGAGATGCCATCGCTCTGTTATTGGGTGTAGTTCTAAGCATCACAGGCATCTGTGCTTGCTTAGGGGTATATGCTCGAAAGAGAAATGGGCAAATGTGACTTTGAAGGATCTCCTGAATCAAACCTTGCCATAAAAACCTTTGTGCTGTTGAGACTAAACATGAGCTTTAGTGTCTGAAGGTTTCCAAGAAACAGTAAATAGGAGAGTTTCAAATTCTTTGTTGTTTCCCTTAAAATGGGAAGAAATTGATACATAAATGGGAAAAAAATGTTTTCTTTACAAGTTATACACTAAATAATTCAGCCTATACTTTATATGTGCTGGTTAGAAAGGGGGTCAAAGAAGTAAGATGGTTGAAATTTCCATAAGTAATTCATAGTTTCAGGATTTTCAAAGCGGGTGAGGCAGGAAGAAGGAAGCTTTTGCCCAGAATCCAAGGAAATCTCCACTGTTAAGTTATAGTCACTGCCTCCTGAATTGTTGAGAAGTCTTTTCTCCTTATTTTTATTATACTTTTGTTTTATCACTCAAATTAATATGGTATTTAGATATCACATTTATCTCTGGATAAAAAAACATTTAGAAAGATGTATTCAGTATATCTAATATTGAAATAGAAAAAAAGATTTAATGCAAAAACAAAATCCTGTATATTAACATTGAAATGGAGAAGAGATCTAATTTGAAAAAGAAACAAACTTTATATTAACTGATTAACATCTCTATGATGAGAAGTACTATATTAAATATAAACCCATTGTGTTGTAAGTTGATGTCTGGTGTCCATTTTTTGCTTATTTTGGATTATTTTTGTGTGGACTTTCATACAGATAATAAGCTAAGCAGAGAAGCCTTATCTTAACTGATCATACTAGCTTGAAGAGACAAAATCAGTGAAAAATGAGAACCAGTCTCAGGCTCCACCCAAAGCAGCTAGATCAGAATCTGCATTTGTTTTTCAAAACCAAAGATGATTTGTGTGCACATTATAAGTTTAAGAAGACTGCTTTAATGTGCTTGAGCCCAAGAATCATTTCAGGCACTGAGATGAAACTTACAAATTCCCAGATCCCTCTTCTGGTTGTATAGTTAGTTGTGAGTTGGAGCCTGAAACTATTTAAGCAGAGACTTCAGTGATTCACTTGAGTCTGCAATTTCAGCCAGCATAAAGTAGTCTGAAGAAGTTAAACGACTTTATCTACTTCAGGGTTTCATAGGAAGTAGGCAGGCAGTTTTTTTTAATTCATTTTCTAATCTTTACCTCCCAAGAGGACACTGGGAACCTCAATTTCATCATTAAGATAGGCAGCAGCAACCTAAAATCCTGTTCATGGTGTATTTCTCCAAGTGTGAGCTGACCTGGCCTTCTTGAAAGATCTGTTAAAGAGTATAAGGAGTGAGGGAGGGCCACATAATAAAGACATGGAAAACCAATGGACTTCTTTTGTCATAACTGTTTCGTTTTTCCACTAGAGAAAGCACTAACATTCCTTCTTCAAATAAAATGGCAGTTGCATTTTCTGTAATTAATAGAACTTGATTGTGCATGCTTTTTTTTTTTTTTTTTTTTGAAAGAAGGAAAAGGAAATGGTGCAGATTATAAGACAGTTGTTTTACAAACCAGACCATTGGTGCTGATGATGAGAGCCTGCTGCTGCTTCTTGCGGGTCTGAACTTTTCCATAGAAATGGGAGAAATCAAAGCTAAAGTGCATTTTAAAGCAGCGCAGTAATCATTTAGTCACCTCCAGGTACTATTTTTAAAATGTTCAAAATAAGACTTAGAGCAAACATTCTTTAGTGAACATGTATTCTGCAGATGCCTAAAAGGAATTAGAAAACTATTTTCCATTTTCTCCTTAAAAGCAGAGAACTCTCCCAAGATGGCATGCAGAAATTTTGGTACATGGGGAATACCTGCTCTAAAAATAGTCTCATTTCTCAAGTAGCTGGGCTGCGTTACATAGTTTTGCCTGAAAAGAATAGAAACTTTCACACTGTCTTAACCTTTGTTAAGCCACAGGTTCCTTTGAGAATCTGGTGAAAGCTATTACCCTTTTCCCTACCAAAATGCTCATGCATATTGGTATTTTCTGATTAATTTAGAGAGTTTTCAGGCCTGAAGCCCGTCTAAGATCCTTCCCATTCTAGAATTCCTTGATTTGTTGTGAGGGATAATACCTGCTATGGACAGGTATTGCAGGAATGGGATTGACACACGTTACAGCAGGAATGGGATTGACACACGTCCCTTGGGTACCTACAGCCATTTGTAGGTACGTATGGTTTGGGGGGGGGGGGTTTGTTTTTTTACTTTTTTGAGACAGTCTCACTTTGTTGCCCTCGGTAGGGTGCTATGGCATTATAGCTCACAGCAATCTCAAACTCTTAGGCTTAAGCAATTCTCTTGCCTCAGCTTCCCAAGTAACTGGGACTACAAGTGCCTGCCACAGTGCCTGAATATTTTCAGAGAGGTGGGGTCTTGCTCTTGCTCAGGTTCATCTCGAACCTATGAGCTCATGCAATCCACCTGCCTTGGCCTTCCAGAGTGCCGGGATCACAGGCATGAGCCACCGTACCAGGCCTTCAATTTATATGTATCTAGTAAATGCCGGGTGTGTCTGTGTTAGCTCGTTTGAGTTCATTTAAAAAGGCAAAAGACTTAATAGTTGAAACCAACAGGTGAAGAATTCAAGGTCCTTGCCAATACTTAACATTTCTATTTTCTGTATCTTTCTGGTGACCCGCCAATTCTTCTAATGCTACAATTCAGTACCTTTCCCGCATTGTTTCTCTCTGACTGCTTTCATGGTTTTTCTTTACTTTTAGTTTTCAGAAGTTTATCATGAATCTTGGCGTGGATATCTTCAGGTTTATCCTGTTGGGGTTTCACTTGAATTTAAGTGTTTATGTGATTTCTCAAATTTAGAAATGTTCACTCATTATTACTTCAAAAAAAAAAATTCAGCTCTACCCTCCTTTCCTTCTAGTGCTCCAGTCACCCAATGCTAGATACTTTGTTATAGCATCTTCTGTTTCTTTGCTGAGACTTTCTGTTTTCTCTTTTGTTTCAAGCATGTCCACTGAAGCAACTTTCTGATGGCTCCTTCAAAATCCTTGCCATTTAATTCTAACATCTGTGTCATTTCAGTGTGGAGCATCTGCTAATTGTCTCTTGCTCAAGTTGAGATCTTCCTGATTCTTGTTATGATGAGTGATTTTTCAATTGACATCTGTACATTCAGGGTAGGTCTTGTATTTTAGCAGGCCTCCTCTGACACCACTCACTCAAGGGGGAGGAGGGTGCCTCTTCACTGCCAGAAGTCTAGCGGACGACTTCATTACTATTTCCCATGTTCCCTCTGCTGACACTGGGGGATGGGGTATCTTGGTACAGCAGGTGGGAGCTGAAGTCCAGCTTCCCCACGTGGTCACCAATAGCACCAGATTGGCAAGGAAACTTCTCACTACCAGCTCCTGGATATGAAAGTGCCAGATTTCCACCTGTCCTTCTCTGAGACCACTCCAGTGGGGAGTCTGAGACAACTCTTAGCTTGGTGAAGATGGAGGTCCACCTACTCTTTGCTGATGGTGGGAGTGAGACTCTAACTCTTTCTGTGGTGTTTGGAAGTTTTCTGTTTGCTAATCTCCTTTTCTTGTCCTTAAACTGGAGAGAATGGTCTTTTCTTGGTTGGTTTTTGTTATTGTTTTTGTCTAAGCCCATTGGTATTTTGGGGCTCCCAGCTTCTCCAACATCCAACTAAGATATAGGAGGGGGAAAAAATCTAGCAAGGTCACCACCACGTCGTTCCCTTAGTCTTTTGGTACCTCGCTGGTGTGCCTTTCCACCCTCCCCTCTTAACCATCGAACACCTTGTTTATAGGTCTACCAGTAAGCTCAGCTAGAGAGTATGACTAACAATCAAGAATACAGGAGTATAGAAGTTGAAGCAAATGGGCTGTATCCATGTTTTATCTCAGCATTGAGCTATAAGTGGCAGCTTCTTGAGAAACTGGCATGATGCCAAATGTCCCAGCCAGCACATCACAGACCCCTTCATCTTATCGGGCTCTCTAGGCTCTGCAGAAACTTACCATTTGTCATTGCCAACCAGGTGTATAGGAAAGGTGGGGTAGCTATGTAGTTTGCAGCAAACAATGGAGGGAGAATTCTTTGCATATGACCCCTCTCCCAACCAGAGGTTCACATATCAATCAGTCTCCTTGGTGGTACTGGAAGAGGAGTTAAGAGCCCAAGATCAGGAAACCAATAGGCCTCAACACTTAAAATGTTGTATTTCCCTAGTTACTTAATTTCCTTTGAATTTCTGTCTCTCTGTCTGTTAAGTGGGATTAATAATAGTATCTACCTCATAGGTAGATGAGGAATACATGAGGTAAGGTATAGGAAAGGGTTGGCATTCTAGATGTTGTTATTGTTGGTATTTGGAGATAGTTCCCAGAAGTCAGGATGGGGTGGGGAGGACTTTACTAGCATCAATTTCGGCATCTTTAAAAAGATATAAAAAAGGCTTGGTGCACAGTGGTTACAGCACCAGCCACAGGCAACAAGGGTGGCTGATTCTAACCCAGCCCAGGCCAGCTAAACAACCATGACTACTGCAACAAAAAAAATAGCCAGGCATTGTGGCAGGCACCTGTAGTCCCAACTACTCAGGAGGGTAAAGGCAAGCGAATTGCTTAAACCCAAGAGTTTTGAGATTGCTGTGAGCTGTGACGCCTCAACACTCTACCAATGGCAACATAGTGAGACTCTTGTCTCAAAAAAAAATAAAGTTATATAAGCAAGTCCTATATCAATTGTTTTTTACATTTTAACTTTGAGTTTTCTTAAGTTCTAAGAGACCCTCAAAGGCAGTATTCAGTCTTTGTTTTTCTTATTGTAGTCCACACAGACACAGTTATTAGAATTATTAGCTTAGAAATTGGTAAAGCTCACAGACCTATGTGAAGAACAGAAAATGGAACTACCCTAAATTTTTTCCTAGGTCATCTTGTTTGTACCTCACGCCCTTGGAAAAAAAAGTGGAAAGAAAATATTAGGTCATCAAACATGAAATTTCTGATTTCTAGTCAAAAGTTTGAGGTATTTATTATATCTCAAATAAGAAGCAGTACTATCAACACAGTTTTGCCATCTTAACCATAGCTTGTCTATGCCAATAGCAAAGATGCCTAGCGAGGAAATCACAAAGGCATTTTTCAAAGCTTGTTGAGAATTGGATATTTTTCTTTGCCAAAATTGTCCCAAAGCCTGGAAGAAGTGATAGTTGTTGCAAGGTCTAGTGAATAAGGTGGATGACAGCATTTCCAAGGCCAGCCTCTATAGTTTGAGCAGCATTTTTTGCATGTCATGTGGTCCAGTGTTGTCTTGCAAGGCCTGTCTCTATTGACGAATCTCAGCTGCTATGTTGCCAGCATGCTCATCCTGTCATCCAATTAGTTGCAGTAGACATCCGCTGTAATTCACTGACCAGGGCTCATAAAGCTGGAGAGGATAGTATCAGCACCAGACCATCAAACAGACTCCATTAGAGTTTTTGGTGAATATTCAGTTTTGGACTGTGTTTCAGTATTTCATGTCTATCCAACCATTGTGCCCAATGCTGGTGGCTATCTAAAAGAATCAATTTTTCATCACAGGTAACAATACATTGCAGAAATGGTTCACCTTCATGTCACGACAGCAAAGAAAAGCATGCTTCCAGAGGATTTCTCTTCTGATGCTCGTTTAATTCATGCCGACCCCATCTATCCAGCTCCTTTACCTTGCTGCTTTGTTTCAAATGGTCAAATGTTATTGAAATAGTAATGCCAGCCCCTGCTGCTAATTCATACATAAACTGGGATGGATTCACTTCAGCTCATCATTATCTATCTTGGTCTCAGGTTGCCCACGTGGTTTGTTTTCAAGATTAAAATGACCAGAGCAGAACTTCTCAAACCCTCACCGTACTGTGCATCCATTAGTTACTCTTTCTCTCAAACACTTCATTGATATTTCAAGCTGTCTGCACTGCATTTGGTTCCACAATGGAACTCGTATTCAAAAATAACATGAATTTTTAACTTATCCATGGTTTCACAAAAATTTCTTGAAAAAAATTTGAAAGATAATTACAAGCCAAAATGCATGTTTGAAAAGATGTACTGGGCGGCACCTGTGGCTCAAAGGAGTAGGGCGCCAGCCCCATATGCCAGAGGTGGCAGGTTCAAACCCAGTCCCAGCCAAAAAAAAAAAAAAAAGAAAAAGAAAAGATGTACCTTCACAATGAAAATAAAACAAGATGTATCAAAGTGAAATGTCACAGATATCAACTGTCAAATTAGTACTTAAAGAAATTGGATGTTTCAGAATCATTAATAATTCTCTTTTAATAATTTGTAACATATTTAAATATGGGTCTTTCCTGCATAG